CCGGCATCTTTCATGTGTCAATAAAACGCGATAACTGCTTGTAATTGATGGTGTAACTGGCGCTGCAAAGGGTTACGCACATTGATATTGAACGGTTAACAGTCGACGCCGATTGTTATTGGCGGCCCTAGGCGCTTTGTGCTACTAGGCTATTGAGGCACGGCGTACGAAACTTAATAGGCACAGATGCCGTCAATTTAACGACGTAAATACCAGTAACCAATGAGAAAAATAAAATTGGTAGTCTATAGAATAAACCATCAATTGTCTATAACTAAATTACTTTTAAGTACTAACTTATTTCTCCCGGACGCGATACCGTTTGTTATGCAAACTAAGTAAAAGATGTCAATCAATAATATTTATATCAAATTGATTTTTTACTTTAATTATCCCGTTTTATATGAAAACTATCACCTAGTCACCTATCAGTGAAGAATAAGGCTAAGAACTCACGGAGCGATTTTGAACCGTGCCCGCCGCGGTAGCAGAACTGCGGTTTTATTTCCAAACTCACGAGACCGGTTATTTGCGCGGTTACACAGCCGCCGCGGTTGCGATCATCGCCCGCAAACGTGGCGGGCGATGATCGCAAGATTGCAAGACGGGCGGTTAACGATCAGTTGAGGTCCAGACCGCCATGGACACACACCAGAAATGAGTCGTTGCGTTATATTTACTTCACAGAAGACCCGCCGGCCCCCGCGGTCGCTCGCCAACCGATCGCAAAGCGCGCGGGTGCCACCCGCCGAGGCTGCGGGTAACCGCGGCCCGCGCGATTCTACTAGTCGCCCGCCGGTACAGAGCGGGAGCCGCATACAACCGCGTACACCGCGGGCGTAAAACGCGTCGTGAAATGTGCTTTAATTTTTTATATAAATATTTGAATTCTACAGAAGCTGCGGGCCCGCAACCGCAGCGGACGCGGGCGAAAATCGCTCCGTGAGTTCTTAGCCTAAGGCTCGAACTACATCAAGGTGATTGATCACACAGCCTGATAACGGACAAGCTTAAAATTTCCAATATCTCTCGATCTTATCATGAAGTATAAATAATCTGCTAACATAGTGCAATTGCATTGGTCATGCAACGCGGTACCAAATTCTTTCTATCTTTAGTTCATGTTTTATATATTTTATTTTTATCCTTGCTCGTTCTACTGCGGGGAAAAGGAATCTTCCACTCTTCTGAGCGCAAAGCCTTCTGCGACCAATGCTAGTTACAGGCGTCAACTTCATTCATTCTAGTTTGACGCAAGGAAGTTCTATCTGCTTCAGCCGACGCCTTCAACAAGAAACGGGCGTAACCAAATACATTGCAATGGCTATACATCTATTAATATTTCGTTGACTATGTATCAATATTTTCTCACTAAAACGCGTTTAGGATTAACATTAAAAACATTCAAAGAACACCGACGTCCTATAAATCACAGGGAAATTATCATAACGAGTCAGTTTTGTACCAAAATTGTGGCTTTCTACGAAATTAATAATGCCCGCTATAAACTGAGATTTACAACTGTTACGCGTGTGTGTCCTCCTTATGTTACCAATGTGTGTGATGTGAACGGGTATAGTGTTGAAATAGTTATATCCACACTAACGCCTCGGAATTTGGCGTAGGTGACGATTAGTTTACCTTTTGAATCGGTGATTTATGACGCTATAATGCATTAAATTTCACAGAAACAAACCTAGTTAGTCGAGTCGTGATTGCATCATCAGGGTTTTATTCGTTGAAACGTTGTTTGGTAATCTTGCTTTAAGGTACCTACAACAAAAGTATACCTCGGCATTTCTTGCAAAAGGACAGTAATCTTTATTGGTATAAATATCCTATCTTACTATCATTACAGTTTAGATAAAATATAAAGCCTGAAATAATCTTAAACTTCGACTAAAAATGCTTGTTGCCAACCTCGCAAAATCACCAGTTTACACATTAATGTTCATGAAGCCGGTAAATACAAATTTAATAACCGTATAAACTTAGATTTTTTACATTAAACAAATATTTTAACTGCCTAGATCGGAATAATATAATTATGTCTGTAATTTGAACATTAATTTTTTACAACGATTTGTTGATGACGATTCTTCAGTTTCGATTCCTCCTTTGAGCGATTTTAAAGTTTCAAATTTCCATGTAAAATTAATGAAATAATGTTTTTTTGCCGTGTTAGGCTGTACAGCTTAATGTCATTACCTCTGTAGATAAGTAGAAACGGTAAAACTTAATTAAAAGCTCACGCGTTGGAGTTTCACCAGTAACTATCATCTTAGTCAGAAATCGCGTTTTAAATTGGTCATTAACTTTATTGCTAATTACTCAAAGTTGCACAGATTGCGGTAATATTTTAGTTTAAGTAGTAAAATAACTTAATGTAGAAAACAAAATGGCGTATGGGTATGGGTAGGTACTTAGGACCCTTGCCGTAATCAGAGTACACATGGCCCATTGGTATGAATGTCAGCTCTTCAAAATGTCAAGCTCTCTTAATTAATACTAAAACGGTTGGTATTAAATTAAATTATAAAAAAAAACATCAACAAATTCAAGCACGCTCTTAATTGGCTAAATAAATACAGCGTATATTATTTCGTTTCAATTTCTTCGTTTTTATGATGTCTGGTAAAATTACGTAATGGAAAAGTATAATAACATAGTACCTACATAAGTACTTTAAATAATGTTATAAACAGATAAAATGTTAATTAGTATACGTACGTTAAATTTAATATCAGAATAGTTAATATTGTAAAAAAGCTGTTGAAATAATCAATTTTACCGACATACTAACCCTAGTATAACAAAACAGAAATAATATAAATTCGTCAAGAAAAGTCAAACTAGTGTTAATAACATAATAAGAAAAGTATTTAAAGAATCAAGTTGAACTTTCTTAAACGTGTTATGATTTCAAAAAATGTCTTCATTAGCGCATTGGTTTCGCAAGCAAGAACAAAACGCATTTCTGGAATGGCGGGAATATGTTCCTCGGCTGGCATTTCTTTTTAATTGGTAAATCTGAGGCAGTAGTATTTTTCGCATACAAAGCCATCGGGATCTTTATAGCGTGTCGTTTTCGTAATTTAACAAACTACTGGCTACGCTGGTTAACATTTTTTACAGTAACCGATACAAATACAAATTACAAATACCTTAGTCTATGGATAGCCGCAACAAAAAGTTAGCAGCACACAATGTTTAATGTTTGCCGCAAAGAAGTTTGATTGCCAATATTTCTCAGATACCAATCATTGGATCGCAACTGCTGTATGGGTAGTTAAACCAATATTTATGTAGAAATGCAAGTCGGTGAGTTTTTACAGCACCACCATGTCGCTTCTGATTTACCAGTACTTTGTTGCACCCATACTGAGTCCTACTGTTACAGTATAAGATTTATATTTGAAAATCAGCCGAACGTTTGGTTTGTATATTAAACCAGGGCTAGTTTTTCTGTGTCCTCGTCAACAAAATGTATTTTGTTACAACCACGTGAACGTTTTACAGCTGCGTCTTATTATTTTTTGTGGAAGACGGCGGTAAATCATTTCCTATGCTGTAAAAATGCCACTATACCTACGAGGGAACTAATGTGAAATTTATTCTTAGTCACCTAATTGTCTCATTATAGACCGGAGAATAAAATATGATTAGTTACTCAGTTCTAATTTTGTCCAGGCCAGAATAAGTTTATTAAAGTTACATGCTTGTTGATGTCTGTCCATCTTGGAACTGTGTATGTAATGTAACAAAGTAAGGTGCATTAAACTTGCAGCGCGGGCGCACGTACACGAGCCGTGTTTCGTCGCTCCCACCGGCACCGTCTTCGCCTCTCCGTGATTTATTGGTCCTCGTTTATTTTATTTCCCAATTCGTTTTAGTTTACAGCCTCGATGTTCCCCCTATCGTTCTCTAAGGAAATAGTTTTACAAAGAAATGTTGGTGATTTATCTTCTAACTGTTATTTAAAATTGAAAAATGGAATTCTTTCGTCCAGCCTCAGCGGGATGATTAGGTAAGTTTAGTAGTTAATATATGTATTTATTTTTATTTAACGATACGTGTTACATTATCTACCTATAATAGTTTACATATTTATTTCCGCGGAGATATGTTTCTTTCGGTGCGCATTAAAGAAGGCCGGATATTACAGAACCGTCGTTTACGATCCAATGAAGTACTGAACCAAGTATTTGTCTTGTTCAAGAAGTTAAGTGACTTCGTAACGGCAGCATCTATTAGGAACTAGACAAAGAGCAAGTACCATTTGTTTCTAACCGTTTCACTGCATGACTTATGACTAAGAAAACAATAAGTGTACCAACGAGCACAGGATTTTGAACTCTATGGGTCTATTCAAATTAAAATAGCTTTGTGCAAGCTCTCCGGCTCCGACTACAAACAATGATAAATTTCAGATTTTGTATTACAAAGCGAGAACTGTAAGAGTCCGAGCTCGTTGAATTCTGGTAACAAAAGATGAAAATCGGACTATGTAAGGTTGTACCTGGAGAAATCGTGGTATTGTATTGAGCTTATTTGTCAAAGCAGCGACAGATTAGAGAACATTATAACACAACAAGTGACAAAACATAATTGATCGGTGACAAAGTTAACGTTCAGGACGGACGGGCACGGGACAATGAGGACGGGTACCCGAATCTGAACACAAGAAATCCATTGTCCGTCCTGTTCGAAGGCGTCAATTGTTGCAATTTTTTTCTCGACGATCGCTTGTTATGTCTGCGCAGGTACTGGCTTCGCAAGGTTCATGACAATTTTATACGGGTACCAATTAGTGTGCCTACATTATTTTTATTATGAGGTTGTTAAACTTTAACAATTTGTGCGTTGAATATTTTCGTTCGGCAGTGTCGTGTAATTACGTTATGGGATTATTTATGTGTTGGGTACAAAAGTATCCTAAAACTAAGATAGTTTTAGGATACTTTTGTAATTGGAATCAAACGATAGAATGAAAATCTTACCAAACAGATGCAGCGAGGCCGAAGTAATACAGCAGGAGGAAGACCACAGCGCAATTAGGGTTTGCTAATCCATCGTGTGCCAGTAGCATGCGTGTCGGGGAGGTGGAGTCCTTGGCACAGCCTGCAGCGGCGCGGCCGGCGGCGGCGCGGACGCCCCAGCCCGCCGCCGCCGCGCACCGGCACAGCGCCACCAGCACCAGGGCGCGCTCCCCCGCCCCGCCACGGTCCCCACACGCTAGCTGAGCTCCCACAGCAGCCAGAGTACACGCAAAGCTTAGTGCTGCCCATGTAGCCAACCAAACTTCTGCTGCTTTTCTCTCTCCACCATCCCAAAGAACTTCTGCATCACAAAACTGCGCGCAGCGAGCTGATCCTCGGACCCAAACCCAATTGTTAGGTTTGATGAGTCGTCGACAGGCTCCTCGGCCACCTGCATTGCCCATATCCAAAGGAACAGTGCCCATTGGTGGTGCGCGTTCTCCCGGTCCCTCCATGCACATGTGTTCGTGATTATTCTCAGCAGGGAATAAGGAACAATCCAGCTCTGGAGGCCAAAGAAATCCGAAGCCATGGAGTACAGGGTAACATCTGGTGTACACGCTCTCGCAAAGCCCTCTGCAGGGCCCGATGGGCAACGCCACCTTGTCGGTGCACATCGGTACGTACACTGAGCAGAGGAACAGATGCAGCTGAGAGGAGCACCCGTACTGCACCAGAGGGCTGAAGGTCTGCAGCGTCACGTCGGCGTCAGCCTGCAGAGTATGCCTCGCCAAGTTGGGCATCCCCGTCTGATTGTATCCAATGTTCTTGCACATCGCCACTTTAATAGGTTCACATGTCCGCACGGAGGCCTCGGCGGCGGCTCCGGTCACTAGGGTCACTAGAACAACAGCCACGAAGCACTTCATGTTGCAGAGATGTATCCGGCGCGTTACATCAAACATGTCATTGTAGTCGTGTATGTTTACGCGCGAGAGTGTCGGCCGCGCGGACTGCGTACGTGCGCCTCGAGTCGCGTCTCAAGACGGTGTATGGAGGAGCGAGGCCGGGGCGGGCGCGGGGAGAGGGGGCACCATAACAAAAAAAGGTCCGCAGGTATGCGCTACACTGTAGCGGCGGGAAAGGGAGAGAAATGGCCCGAGCACCGCAGCCGCATACGTCTGCAGTCCGATGTCCGCGAGTACGACTGTCCAAGCCGCGCACCTTATCAGCTCTGCGCCTTATCACTGAGGGTAGATTTCAAATACTGATGCGGTTTCATTTATACAATATAGCTATCGATTTTTCGATAACTTACTATGATATCGCACCGTTCATATGAAAACTGATTAAACTAGATAGCTAAAATTGGATCCTAATTTTAAATGAAATCGTTAAAATTATGTATTCGATCTCGGAATGCAGCAATGTTGATTTGATAAGGAACTGCTACTAGTCTTATATCACTCACAACTTTGCATATTATATCAAAGATAAACTTTGTGTGATTTAAGTGGAATAAATTTAGGAAAAAGTATATATATTCTGATTAGGAATTTAAAAATCTTTGTAAGGTCAAAGAATTATTAAAATATATATAAATGGACTAAAAAATTATTAACTTAAAGTCATTGACCTTTATCTACTGATTGACTAGAGTTCGTTCAGTTTTAATTATTAGAATACTGAAATCTAATTAAATTAGATCCAATACCTCTAACTAATAAGACCATGGTAAGACATGTCAAAGATTAACTGCCGTACTTTGAAACATTTAATCATTACTTAAAACTATATTCCTTAGTAATGTTTCTGGTCCAAAAACAATTGCTAAGGGCAGGGTTAAATAACGATTAAAATAATAAACATTGTAGTGTTAGAATGTTTGGGTACGCTAATCCTATAAACTGCCGCTCACTGTTCAAAATACAAATACTAATATAATTTTGAAATAAATTTATTGTACATAATTTACTACAATGTATTTAAGCATTACGGTATAAATTTTTATGAAACATAAATAAATAGGTAAATATAATAGGTATAATGGTGAACATTGTTAGTAGTACAAAAATTGGACCAAAATGTTGATCAGTGGGGTTATGAAGCATTCGACAGACGAATCTCTGAGGACAATAAAATATTTACACTTCGACAAGGCTGCTAACTGAGGACCATACTTATAGTTACGACTAAAATGAAAGATAAATACTTTTACAATAATCTTATTATAATACAAGTTTTATTTCAACACATAGTTCAGTTGCTAATATTGTAATCTGATAGTTTATAACATCTGCGACCGATCGATTATATTTACTTACATATAACAATCTTATGTACTCTTCATACTTCACAAGTCTTGTACATCGTCTTTCCCATTAGTTCTTACCTCTTGACATTTTTACATTCGCTAAGCTAATGTATAATACAACATTCACAAAATTTTAACAAATACACCGTCCGACTGGTGGAATTTTACACTAACAACGATGACCAAGCAAATTATATTAAGGAATGCTAAACAAGCAACACTAGCGCCACCCTGCACTTACATGTATGTTCGAATTACAACTAATCTCTAATATTGTACAAACGTAAACTATGAAAATTATAAATGCCACGGTACGAATACGAACAAAAAACAAACAATTAGACAATTTGGAAACTACGAATCTTATAGATTCACAAGTATTTGGCCTCGCAACGAATATGATTTTCTGTATTATAATTTTAATTACAAAAAATATCGTTAACACATACAAAATGTATTATTCAATCTTATTATATTTAGCCTTTCGCCGATTTACACGTTCCAAAACATTTTTGCCGGGAAATAAATTGGAATTATGGCGTTTTGTGAGAATTTATCCTTTGAAACCAAACCTCGTGGATCAGTATTGATGACGAAATGAGTAAGCATGCACAACCGCTGAATAATACATCATTTCTATAATATTTCTTAGAAAACACTAGAATTATTGACATTGACAATTTCAATCAACTACATAAATCATATTTTTGGTAGTTATCATTGATTCAAAAATTGATCAGAAGTTTGAAATGTAAATACAAAACACCCCCTTCACACTTCTTTTTTATTTCCAAGAATATTTTATATTATGTTTGAGTGCAGAGGTACTATCTCTCAATAATAGACCTTATTGGTTTGCAAGATGTGCCCGAAGTAGTTCGCCCTAACTCTAATTAGTCTTGCAACATTACTAGCTCTGGTAATGTATGTGTGGCGTCGATATTAATTTTATTATAACAATACAATAAACTACATGCATACGAAATGATATATTGTGACCAAACAATATTAAACACTACTGAGAATACAGAAATTAGTATAAACAAATTAAATACTGCGGCTGCATTGTAAATAATATATGTATATTGAAAATAGCCTCTAGAAATAAAATATAAATGGACCCCTTATGCTCAAAATTGTAAAAAGGCACAAAAATATACTGCGCGACACTACGGCTAGCGGTAAATATTGGATAGGTTTCGCGTCGGGCATCGGGGCACAGCAAGCGGAGTACAGCGCGAGGGTCGAGCGCGGGCGAGGGGTTAGTGTCACGAGGACGATAACAATACTAGACAGTAAGGGAGGTCAGCGGACTAGAGCTGGGCTTGGTCGAGGCGCAGGCGCAGCGCCTCGCGGTCGCGCGTGACGTCGGCCAGCTCGGCGCACAGCGCGCGACACACGCGGTGCAGCACGGCGTTCTGCTCCGCCAGCGCACGCACGTCCGCGCCCGCGCCCGGCGACGCGCGCCCGCGCCGGTACACCTCGAACGCGCCGTGCATCACCGGCGCCTCGCCCTCCGCGGGCTCCGGCGGGAACCCGGCGCCCGCCTCGCCCTCGCTGCGCTGCGCCGCCAGCCGCCGCTCGGCGCCCGGCGGCGACGAGCGCGGCGGCGGCGCGGGCGGCGGCGCCGGCGCCTTCAGCCGCGTCAGGTCCAGCGAGCTGGAGCGCGCGTGGTTGCGCAGGGGCCGCGGCGGCGGCGGCGGCGGGGGCTCCTTCTTCGGCCCGAACTGCAGAGACTGCGGCCCGTCGTCGTGGGAACTGTCCCGCGTGGGCGGCGGGGGCAGCACGCCGGCCGCCTTCAGGGGCTTGCGAGGTTGCGGCCGCTGGATAGATTTGATCTCAGCCCCGTTGGGCGGCGGCTCGGCGGGCGGGGCGGCGTGCAGTCGCTTGGGGCTGGCCAGCTCGAATGCGTGCGCGAAGTCGTCGCGACGCGGCGACGTGCTGGACCGCGTGTCCCCTTCCCCGTGCGCCGGCAGAGTGTTGCCATCGGGAGTGACGCGCACGGCCACCGGATGGAAAATCTTGGGGTCTCGCTCTACCGCAGACTTGTGAAAATCAAAGTTGACAGGTTTGGGTCCCGGGCTGGACACACTAGATGTGGGCGAGTCTACGAACTTGGTCCACTCCTTGTTGTTCACTTGCCCTTCTACTTTCGGCGGGGTCAGGGAGGGCTGTCGCTCTTCGAGTTTCTTGGTCACCTTAGTGGCGTCGTAGGGGTCGTGCGGTTCGGGTTTGGGTGCGAAGTTAAAATCTGCGGAGGTGCCGGAGCTGAACATGTCGGCGCCGAGGTCGACGAGGTCGGTGGTGACCGCCTGCTTGGAGTACCGCGAGTCCACCCTGGGCACGAGACAAGCAGGCAGTACGTCGGGCACCGGGATGTTGTTCCGCCTTAGCACTATCAGGTGCATCGCTATGCTGAACTCTTCCAGTGTTAGCATGCCATCCTTGTTGATATCCGATAGTTGCCATATTTTTCGCAAGTCGGGTACAGGTAGGTGCGATTTTTCGAAAAATAACCTGATGACAACGATAGTTTTGAATAACCTTTCTGCAGTAATTTCACAATAGCGTACTTCCTACGTGAGTACAAGTGTAGTTACCTAGCAGTTTGTCCGGACAGCATGCCTCGCTCGGGCCGCAGCTGCGCGAACTGGCCGGCGTAGTGGCGCGCCTGCGCGTCGCTGATGGCCCAGATATCATCTACTCCATCGCCCTCTTCTTCAGACGAATGGCGGTCTGAGGACTCCTCTTCCGTTCCTGTGAACATCATGACAAGCAACTATCAGAAAAGTTACGCTTGATAAATATACTGAAGGTACATCAACACTAAATGAAATTTAGCCATTATGGGCTTTCATTATTATTGCAGGTAAACCTACATAAAGCACAATGGTCTCTTAGGAATGAGCAATTTTATCGACAAGCCTAATCGAATTCCTAGCTTTCCTTCAAGGGCGCAGACTCTTGAGAATTTCATGCGTGATGCCTAAACATTATTAAGTTTAGAACGGGTATGCTTTGAAGTTTAAATCTTAAATTAATATACTTTATTATATTAATTTACTTTGAACATTGTTAAATAAGAAAATTCTTAATATTAAATTTTGCTTCGAGATATTTTTGAATAAACATTGTACCATTTAAAAGAGACAGCCGTGAGACTGATTGGAGAAAATGGGCACAATGTACCGAATCCAGTGTAAATTAAAATAGTCAAACCGACTCAAATAAATAATAGCGAGCGTGTTCGGACATACAATAAGTATCTATAATTACTCATTGAACTATGAAAAAGCCTATTAATTTTCTAGTGCCGAAATGCGAAAACGTAAGTAATTAAGGTCAATTGTAGCTGTACCATGCGATACTAAGTCTAAAGGGAATCTAAATGGGTGTATGTATGTAAGTACGTCTTACAAACAATTATTGCTAGTTTTTATAAAACAGTTTTTTAGTTCGCCAGTACCTAATGATATAATTTCCACACGGCTTAATTCCATCTTTGGGTACAATCAGGCAATTACTTATTTAAGAAAAATAACACTTTTAATAATATTATTTTTTGTACAATTGTGGTTTCACTATGAAATACATATTAAAAACAACAAATTAAGGAAATTAAAATAAATAATTATTTGCAATTATTATTACTATTGACTGTATAATAAAATTATTTAAAACTCTATTATACAATACAAATGACGGTAAAGTAATAATTTATAATTATGGAAATGTTTGCCACAGCGGAAATTTTAGTCTATTTCAACGTAACTAAAGTTGAATTTCTAGCAACCGCAGAAGCAAAGCAGCCTACATATTTATGTATAACTATGTATTAATATAGGTACATGAATTCGATCGAGACGGCAGTTTAACGATCACGCCGATGTACGAAGGGTTCCCATTTAGCAGTGATCGCGACAAATTCACAAATTGCT